TGTGCAGATAAGCCCGCTGCAAGTTGAAAATATCGTTGGAAGTGCATTTTTGACATATTTTCAAATTATGATAGTTTATTGGGATATGACCCCATTGCAGTGGAGGAGCATCTGTTCTTCTAATGTCAGAGAGAGGCTCGAAGAGCTCCTTGTGCTACTGGGAAGATGACCACTGAGCCTCTTTTTAACCTACCTTTGCCTAACCCACCAACCACTGCCTAACCCACCAACCACTGCCTGACCCACCAATCACTGAACACTGAGCCCCTGCAACTGCCTGAGAGAACAGTCTCCGGACAAAGGCTATAATTAGAATAGATTCTTCACCTCCCCTTAAGAGACAATAAGGAAACCACCATACTTTATATCCCTGGGAACCTTCACCTCCGCAGAAGCCCATGCCTCCCAGCCTCAAATTCTTAGACTCCCTCTTCAAATGGACCCTTTGGACTCTTCTTGTACCCTACAACTGTATACATCTTCTGATCTGTGGAACCAGGGTCTGGCATAAATGAAATCTCCTTTATATATTTCTGAATAATTTATCCACTTTCTTGCTGATGCCTGGTTCTCCCCTCTGGACCTCGCCTCCGTGCCAGCCCCCTCTACTAGGAGAAGTTCCTTTTTCTCTTACTTCCTATACACTACAGGCCCTGGGGTGAGGCGGGGTCCTCGTTGCTCATCATTGCTGCTTCCAGGCACCACCCCACCATTAAAAATGCTCTTTTAAAACATGTCATCAAATTTTACCACTCACACCTTTTAATTGTAATGACTTCCTCTCTTGTAGGCTTGATTTCTTTCATTAAAACTATGCGCCCCAAGTTTATCATGTTTCTTTTTAACTCCACTTCTGTAACCGCTCTTAGATACTGGTGACCTTAGTATCTATTGTATGTGTCTACATTTAACCTCACCAACTACTCTCATGGTCAAATCCTAAACCTTATAATTTGAATAATGGTACCACCTTGGAAAGCTCAATTTCAGACATCCCAGACTCACACCACCCCCGTTAGTCTTTGTAGCTTAATTTCTTCGAGTCATTTTTCACTGCCCTGAACCTCTAATCTGTTGATCCAACTCCTTGCCCATCACTATCCACGTGCCCTCCCATCTCTTCTTACCTAATTTAGGTGCCATGACCCATCACTCCCTTGCACATTGCCTCATCTACGCTTTGCTCTTCTCTCCGTTTTCTTGCTTACCTGGAAAATCCTCACCTCTGGTTAAATTTGATGTCCATACTCCATATCTGCATCTGAGAAACTGAACATGGCCGGAGGAAAAAATCGTTGATTGGTCACACTTTAAATGTATGACCACAAATTTTACATATTTCCTTAGTCAATTCATGCTTTGTCTCCCCTAGACAACTATTTTATACCTTTTCCAATTTCCTTATATCTTCCTCACCCCATCCCATCCTTAGGCTTAGCAGATGGCCTTCCCTCTTGTATCAGTGAGAAAGATATTTAGTTTAAGAAAGCTTTCTCTATCTTCCCATGCTTTCAAGTCTAGACACTCTACTCAGCCCCAGATCATATGCCTACTTGTCAGCTCAAAGATATTGCTTCTGCAATTGCCCATATTCTCTCCTAACTAAAATTTCCCCTATATCCTAAATTATCCTCACAGGCAAACCACTGTAGTTCCACATTTGCCATCTTAAACCAACCGTAATCCCTTTGAGTTCAAATCTCCTTTATTTACAGTTTTATTTGTAGCAAACCTCTAAAAGAGTGATCTATAATGAGCATCCATCTCCTCTCCAGCACCTCCCATTCTATCTTGAATCTCCTCACCTCAGGTCTTTGTTCGTGCCACCCACTGGACTCCTCTTGCCAAGGCCCGGATGTTGTTCAAATCTAATGATTAATTCTCAGTGTCCACTCAATTTTCTTTAAGTGTTCTTAAGAATTTCCCTGGCTGAAATATTCTGGGTATCTACTCTTCTGCTTTTTCTCCTACTTTACTAGCCACTGATCTCACTTATTTCACTAAATTCTCCTTTTTTTTTTTCTCAGAAACTTCCAAATATTTGAGTGTACTTGGGCTCACACCTTCAGGTCACTTTTCTTTCTAGCTCCTGTCCCTAGGTATTCTTTTCAAGTCATCTTGTTTTTCAATGCCATTATTTAAATATACTAATGACTCCCAATTTTATAGATTCAGGCCTCACCTCAACCTCATTTCCAGACTTGTATATAAAATAGCCTACCAGCTGATTGTTTAATAGCTGTTACAAACTTAACATATAAAAATGAATCTCTTGATACCCTCCCCCAAACCCTAGCCGCCTTCTCCCTTAGTCCTCTCCCATTCAGTCACAGGCACCACCGCTCACCCAGTTGCTCAGGACAAAAGCCTTGGAAACATCCTTAATACCTCCCTTTGCTTTACACTCTGCCTCCCAACACACAAATCCAGCTCATCTGACATGTTATAGGTTCTATTTTCAAAAAATGTTTCCTAAGTTCAGATTTTGCTTCTCTTAATATAGTATCTAGATTTTCAGACCAAGCCTACCCTTAAAAACAATACAAATGCTAGTTTAAAGACGTTTTAAACTCTTTTGAGACTAAGGTCAAAATCTAGGTGAAGGTAGGAATTCAGACAGATAATCATTGCACTTAGGAACTTGTGCCCTGGAGTATTTAATAAAACTGAAGAACTTGAGTTTCATATTTTATAGCGTGTGCCTCTATATGAAGAGGTTAATAGCAGAGCTCTCTGCCACAAAGCTAAGACCATTAAGAGTTACATCTTTTGTGGAAGAGATAACCAAAAGTAAATCCACTTCACTTTCAAACCTCAACCAACTGCAAGAAAAGTTGCATTGATGCTGAGCAATGATGAAAAAAGCTCCTGAGAAGCTGTCACCATGAGACATTCCTAAAATTTATTTGTAGCCCAAATTTACATTATCTAGATGGTTTTAAATTGTTAAGCTGTGAATTTCGCTGAAAGGAGAGCTAGGTGGTAGATATTCCAGGCACCTGTAAGAAGCAGATGCAAATTCTCTATGGAAAAATTGATCTTTTGTCCTAAGCCTCAAAGGAGTCCTATACATAATTTTCTTGACAAATGGTAATATCACAATAAAGAAAAAGAGACTTTGAATACTGGAATTGTCACACATAGAATTAATATAACCATGTTTACTGTGTTTAATATACATATTAATTTTCTTGAATAGGAAACTCCAAAGAATAGTCATGTAGATTTTCAACAGAACAAAATTAAGCCTCTAGAAAAAAAAAATATAATCATTGAAAATAAATATCAATTAAATTGCTAAACATCAAATTCGAAGCTGTTGAATAAATAATTAATAAACTGAATTGTATGTTAGAAGAAATAATTTAGACTGTAACACAGAAAGACAAATAGAAAGTATGAAATAAGTTTAAGAAAAGCAAAAAATAGTGTGAAAATATTGAACATCCAACTAAATGAATTCCAGAAATAAAGGAGAGAGGACATTAGAAAGGGACATTATTAGATGAAGGAATAGTGGAGAAACTTTCAAAAGTGATAAACCCCACCAATCTACAGTTTCGAGAGACCTAATTAATCCCAAGTAGAATAAATAAAAAAATAAAATTCACATCTTGACACATAAACATGAAATGCAAAAGAAACAAATAGAAAGAAAAGACTTTAGCAGCATCTGGGGGAAAGGACAGGTTACCTTTAAACAGCAATAGTGACACTAACAATTGATTTTTCAACAACAGCAATGAAAGCTAGAAATTCTGGAGGATGGACTTCATGTACAAGGAAAATGATCCCAGATGCTAGTTCTGTGCTGCAGGAAGACATGAAAGGCAAAGTACACAGTAAATACATAGGTAAGTCTAATCATAACTATGTAGCAGCCACTCCTGTGCATTTGTTCAAGCTCTGTTTACTTTTCGTTTTAGTTACGCAGTGAGGTTACCTTTCTTAGGGTGCCTGGCAATTAGTTATAGGCATGTGACTGCCTTTTGACCATTAGTGTTTGAGCAAAAGTAATGTGGGTTGCTTCTGGAATAAAGAGGTAAAGAAATGGGTGTGCCTTCTCCCATGGACTCTTCTCATTTGCTGGCTTAATGAAGAGTGTTCCAAGAACTAAAAGCAGGTAGAGCCATAGGATGGAAGAAGCCTGGATCCTTGAATGACCACATAAAAGTTTGCTCAACCAGAAATATCCCCCATTGAACTGCAGCATGAGTAAGAAATAAACTTCTATAGTACAACCACTGAGATTCCAGGATTTAACTGTTTGAACCCCTAGCATTACCTAACTAACGCATTTACTGAAGGGTTAAAACAAGATTCCAAATCAGAACACACTATAACAATTGCATGTAAGTTGGGGAGTAGGTATGAGTAGATATGAAACTTAACTCTTCTGAGATTCTTTATCTGTCCTAAGGGACGATAGAGGTATAAACTTTGCCCTTCAACACATTACATATACATATTCTAATTTCCCGGGTGACCACTAAAGAAGAGAAGCATAGAACATAAATTCTAACAGTGGGAAAAACTTGAATAAGTAAAAAAAATGAAAAAGAAGTTCATATAGAAGGGTCAAATAAAAAGCATAAAATAAGATGGTATATATAAATATATAGGCAATTGCATTAAAGGTAAATAGACTAAATGTTTCAGATAAAAGATAAATCAGAGTGGACTTTTAAAAGCTAATTATATGGTAGTTACAAAATACACATCCACAGGAGAATGGTTCCAGTACCCCTAGCCCATGGATACCAAAATCCACTGATACTCAAGTCTCATATAAAATCACCTAGTATTTACATATAACTATGCACATCCTTCCATATACTTGAAATCATTTCTAAATTACATATAACACCTAATACAATGTAAATGCTGTATAAATCATTGCTATGCTATATTTTGAAAATTTGTACTGTATTTTTGTTGTTGTATTGTTATTTTTTATTGCTTTTTCCTGAATATTTTCCATCCATGGATGGTTGAATCCACAGATGCAGAACCCGTAGATATGGAGGGCTGACTGTATCAGACTATCAAGGAACATGTTCTTCTCATGAGGATAGCAGAAGCAATACAAGAGTGAGTAGAAGCACAGGATATTTCTAAGGTTAAAGTTTGGACGAAAGTGGCATACAGTCATTTTCACTGATGCTCTTTCGGTCACTGTAGTCACATAGACAAGCCCATTTTTCAATGAGGTAGAGAAATATATGCCACCTCAAGCAAACAGAATTGCAGTGTCACATGGCAAAAGATAAGGACATAGAGAAAAGTAAGAAGTTAGGAATAGTAATGCAATTTATCAGAAATAGAAGAAAATTTCTTTTAACTGATAAAGGATAACTATATAAAGTAAGCAAAAATCTACAACAAATAACATACATAGCTATGACAATTGAATAGGTTCTCTTTGAGATTGGGAAAACATAAAGATGCCTCCATTACCATTTTTATTTGACATTTTTGTTGAATATCAGAGACCAATCAATGTATGGAAATCATACACTAGCAATCTATGTACTACCAACAAATACATTTTCAAAAGATACAATTAATGTCTCAGCAATATAGAGTATACGGTTGACCCTTGAACAACATAGGGGTTAGGGGCACTGACCCCTCTGTGCAGTTGAATATTTGTATACAATTTTGGCTCCCTGAAAACTTAACTACTAAGAGCCTACAGTTACCTGGAAGCCTTACCAATAACATAAACAGCTGATTAACAAATATTTTATATGTTAACTGTGTCATATACTGTATTTTTACAATAAAGTTAGAAAAAAAAGAAAATATTAGATAATCATAAGGAAGAGAAAATATGTTTACTGTTCATTAAGTGGAAGTAGATAATCATAAAGGCCTTCATATTCATCATCCTCACACTGAGTATCTTGAGGAGTTAGAGGAGAAAGAAGGGGGTTGGTTTTGCTGTCTCAAGAGTGGCAGAAGTGGAAGAAAAATCCACATGTAAGTGGACCCTACCGTTCAAACCCATGCTGTTGAAGACTCACCTGTGCTTAGAAATGTACATAATGAATGATGTTCAAGACCTTTCAGAGCAAATTATGAAACTTTATTGAAGAATAGAGAAGATCTAAATAGAGAGATATACGGCCTTTATGGATTGGGAACACTTAATATAGCAAAAATACCAATTCTTTCCCAAATTGATCTATACATTCAATGTATCCCAATCAAAATCTAGACAGGATTTTGGATTGAACTTAAAAGTAGATATCAAAATGTTGATGGCTGGGAACCATCTGTTATAGCCGTATGAAAAGGGGACCATGGGGAATCAGAGAAGTAGTTGATTTTCCTAACTGAAATTCAGACGGAAGGGCAAGGTAAATGGTGCCTTTGAATAGCTCTATAAATCCATACAAAAAGGGGGCAATAGGCTCTTAATGGTTGAGATAAAAAAAATGGGGCAGGAGGTTGAGAATAAATTTCCAGAGACTTTTGACAGCAAACTGGACTAAAAGTCATGAGTCATCTCAGTTGGAGTCTGAACTGAGATTTAAGTTAAGAAAGAGGCAATTTATTCAAGTCTAAAGTTATATTCAGGGCTAGGATTTATGCAAGAGGTCCAGGTATTTGATTTTTTTAAGATAGCTTTTATGAAATATACTTCAATGAACACTGAACAATGTAGGTATAGCATTATATATCTTCATATTTATATTTGGCTGTTTTAATTATGAGTTGTACTTTTGTAAGGAAAGACACGGATTCTTTTGTTGCCTTCTAAGTCATTAGTTCTGAATCTTGGCTTTCATTAGAAACAAGCAGGGAGCTTTAAAAATCCTGATGCCCAGGCCACATCAGAACAATCAAATCAGAACTAATGGGAGCAGGGCTGTGGCATCATCACCACCTTGTAAAATTTCCCTTGTGATTCTAAGGTTGAGTCAATGTTGACCGCCTCTGCTTTAAGTAAAACCAAGCCTTCATGGTTGGTGGCTCATTAAAGACATCCATTTTGAGAGCCCTTTCTAGGCAAATTCACCCAAAATCTCTGTGGATAGAGCTTAGGGACTATTATCTTCCCAAAGCTCTCCAGGTAATTCTAACATGCTGCCAGGATTGGGAACCACTGATTTTAGGCCTTCTACTTGATATTAGCCACCACTGTCAGCACTGCCAGTACCTATTGGTGATTTTCTATAACAGATGCCACTCTTAGACATCCAGAGGATAACTCTTTGATGAAATGGCTAAGTCCAATTAAGAAACTTATTCAACATTTATTTACTGACTATAGAATACACAAATAGCACTTGTCTTTGGATGAAAAAAACCCTAAACAAATACGTATTCTAGTTTTTGGTAAATTGTAGGTGGTCCCAGTACCACCAAACTCTGAAAAGACCCTAACAGGCCAGGCGCGGTGGCTCACGCCTGTAATCCCAGCACTTTGGGAGGCCGAGGCGGGCGGATCACAAGGTCAGGAGATCGAGACCACGGTGAAACCCCGTCTCTACTAAAAATACAAAAAAAAAATTAGCCGGGCGCGGTGGCAGGCGCCTGTAGTCCCAGCTGCTCGGGAGGCTGAGGCAGGAGAATGGCGTGAGCCCTGGAGGTGGAGCTTGCAGTGAGCCGAGATCATGCCACTGCACTCCAGCCTGGGCGGCAGAGCGAGACTCCGTCTCAAAAAAAAAAAAAAAAAAAAGACCCTAACAACATTAAGGATAATTTATTAAGATACAAGGTATGTTTATCTTTTCTCCGATCCCTCAAATACAGCCCAGTCATATGAACCATGTAGCACCTCTCCCATTCTCACAGTTTGGGAAAAGGGGAGCGGGCAAGGGGGTGATAATAGAAGGCAACATCACACCAAATACTATAATAGTCCTGCCAGCCCTGTCGTACCCGAGAAGTGTAGTTCACACTCACAAGAGCAGTGTAGCAAGTTATGCTCCTCTGGCACCTCCTTGGCAGGCATGTAACTCCTAAATGATTTAGCAAAATCTGGAGCTTAGAGGCCAGGGCACTCATTTGCAGCTGAACACACTGGTAGGAATCATCTGTGGACTCCATGGACACCATGGCTTTGAATGGTCTTTCTTCATGTACCCCTTCAGTGGGTGCCAGTCCATAGGGAAAGCATGACCCCCAAAAACCTAAGGAACAAACTCTGTATTCTAAAATGTTTCATTATGTTTCTATTTTATAAAGTTTTTGCAGATATTATCTCACACAAGATAGGTTGTCATTCTGTTTCATTTGTATGTATTGCCTTCATGGGTTGGAACACTTAATATGACAAAGATATATAAGATATTCTGGATATATAGAAATCCAGAAAAATGAGGAAGTGGCTCAGAGTCCTGTGATGAGTAGGGAGAGACCTGGGATTTAAACTCAAGTCTTTCCCCCTGGAATCCATGCTTTCCTCTCTATTATAATAGGAATACTTGACATCAGTTTGATGCCTTGTGATACACAAAGCACACTTCCAATAATACTTTTTAATGAGAGGATATAAGTAAAATAACAATATGCCAAGCACATAATAGGCACTTGATACATAAACTTCCTTCTGCTTCTTTTTATTCATATATTATTTACTGTTCTCTCTTGCTCAAAGGATTTGAGTAGACGATAACCTTTATTAACCACAGGGCCTAATAAAGTAAGCAGGCTTGGCCATCACATTTGGTCTCCCAATATATTCCTTTGATCGAAATGGTTTCAAGATCAGAACATGGGATTGGGCAGTGCATGACCTGGGGCTTCACAGGCCAAAGGGAGAATGACAAATAGCTCTACACACCAGAAAGAGAATGGCCTGTGATCCAAAAGGAAAGTTGGAGCCCAAAACTTCAATTCCAGATCAAGTTTCCACAATGGTGTTCACCTTTACTTTGGACCGATTTCCTCTTCATAATTGTTATGGACTGATATAGGGGTTTGGCCACTATGAAGATGTTTTGACCAGAGTCCCAGGAATAGTTATATCCTTTCCAGATAATCCCTCTTCCTTATCCTCTCCATACTCCACTCTCTGTCCTGAGACTGTTGTATACAGGAGACAGAACAGCAGAAAGGGAATGAAAGTGCCAGGTCATTGATAGCTGTGTGAGAGTCCAACTCTCAAACTAAAATGCTGATAAAAATGCTTGTTACAGCTGGTGGGTTAGGCCTGAAGCCAAAGTGGACAAACCTCCAGCCATCTCCTAATCCCCAGGCCCACCTATACTACAGGACCAGTGAGTTTCACATGAGGCTGTGAAGATGGAGAGAGATGGCCAGGGTCAACTTATCCACCCAGCCATAAGGAAACAAAAGAGAGAGGGACACAAGACCTCCGAGGGGCTGTCTCACTTTACCAGTTCCACTCCAATTCCACTGCAAGGAGGAAGCTGAGTGCAAGAGCAAGAGGAGAGCCCTGGGTTTTGCCTTTTAAGGCACAGTAGCCATGTTTGCTGGTAAAATATAGCCCCATGAACGTTTTGCACTATGATCAACCAGCTCATCAACTCCTCCTCCCCTGTAGGGAATGCAAGATCTAGGAGTGGAATGGATGGAGGCGGGCCTGGCTGGGAAGATGGGTAGAAGTATCCTCATTTTACACACAGCAGACATAGGTTCAATTTTCTTCCTTCCTTTCTTTGCTTTTCTTTTATTCTTTTGCTCTAAAATATTATGCTTATAGATTTTGTGATGGTAAAGTCTTGGCAAAAAATTTAACACTAACACTACCTTGAAGGTAAAAAGAACATACCATGTGTCCTGCAATCATAGGGCCCATATTCTGACAGATTATTGACTGCAGAATAATACTCCTCTGCTCCTTCTTAATTCCCTTGTTACATGTAGCAAGAATTATTCCCTGAGTTTCTGAGTTTCCACATGAAAAAGGCTATTCTCTTTTGTTAGGATGCTCAAGGTCCACTTGTAACAACTTTGAAGTTTTCTGCCTACAAGGATCTCCTACTGACTGCCTTCAGGCAGGTAGGAATCCTGCAGCCCTCTGTGCCTCCTCTATTTTCAAGACTTGTTCCTGTAACCTTTTATCAGTCATGCACTCCTTGTTTTATCTCCTGAATAGTTGTCAGATCAGTCCCCTCCTCTCTACCCCCATCCCAATGGCAATAGCTTCCTCTTAAACTCATTTTCCTGGCCCAACCTTTTTTTTTTTTTTTTTTTTTTTTTTTGAGATGGAGCTTTGCTCTTGTTGCCCAGGCTGAAGTGCAAAGGTGCAATCTCGGCTCACCACAACCTCTGTCTCCTGGGTTCAAGTGATTCCCCTGCCTCAACCTCCTGAGTAGCTGGGATTATAGGCATGTACTACCATGCCTGCCTAATTTTGTATTTTTAGTAGAGACGGGATTTCTCCATGTTGGTCAGGCTGGTCTCGAAGTCCTAACCTCAGGTGATCCACCTGCCTTGGCCTCCCAAAGTGCTGGGATTACAGGCATGAGCCACTGCGCCCAGCCTCCCTGGCCCGATCTTTTCTCTCTCCAGTCCACATGTCCCTCTCCAGATGTAAGAATTAATTCTGATCATGTTCCTCCCCTGGTAAATATCCTTTAGTGGCTGCCCATTGCCTATGGCTGAAGTTACCAGCTCCTTAACATGAAATTTAAGGCTTTCCATGACCTAGCTCCTTAGAATGCTCAAACCTCATTTCCTGCCTTTGAATTTTAGGTACCAGCAATATTGTTCTTCAGGTAGTTTCCAGTACACCTGCACACGCTATGTTCTTTCATCCCCATTCCTCTGCTTGGAGTGTCTCCTCACCTACTTATCATGACTACCCCCTTCTTCATCTGGCCAGTTCTCATTTTTCCTTTCCACATTCAGCTCGGGTGCTACTTCCTCCAGGAAGCATTGTGGCTATCCCACCCCACCCCCTAGCTGCTGTTCCCTAAGACATTATCTGTACTGTTGCCACAGCATGTACCATACAATGTGAAATTTTGTCCTTGCCACTAGACGACTGCAGAACTCAGGGACTATTATCAGTATCCTCAGCCTCCAGAGCTTTGAAGGAGGAGATCCTGCATGCCACATTTCTTACAACCAAAAGCAAGGCTTGTAAATAGCTTCAGCAATTCACATGAGAAACAAGCACTTGCTTAAATAGTATTATTTGCAGACAAAATGGCAAAGTCCATCTCTCACTACTTTCATGGATTAGCAGCAGTTACCTTGTTATCTATTGAGGATTATGAAGAATTTCCAGACACTATGAAAAAAAGTATGACTGAGGATACCCACCATTAGGAGAAGACAAGTGCCCTAGAGCTGCCATTCTGGATATAAGAGAAAAGAAACTCATATACATTGATCATCTAGACCAGATAATAATACACATGTGGCTCTATGGTTATTTTGCTTTGTTTTTATTTAGCTAATACTAACCTGAATTCTTATGTGTTACTGATCCCATGTTATTGATCATGTACTGGTTCTCAGACACATTATGTAACTTTCTGTAATCACTGTTATAAAGATAGTAGAATATTAACTTAAGGTGGTGGGCCTGGAATTCAAACCCTGCTCTCCCTAACTTAGCGGTCCTGGCTCCATCCAGTGCATTAGCTCTGTCTTCCTTTAAGTTGGAGTTATCATTACCCAATGTCAAATCAACATTGATCACAAATGACAGAAGCACAGCCCCTGACAAGGTGGAGCTGGAAATAAACCTGCTCAAGAGGCCCTCAGCTTCATCCAAGCATTTGCCCTGAACCGTGCCTCTCACTGTGCAGGGTCTGAACACTTGGACTCTCTCTGCAGCCCTGGGTCATGCCTCACTTCTCACTTACTGGCTGCCCATGACCCTGGCTGGGTGTGATGGAGCTGCTTCTACCCTGACCTCTGGCCTCAGAAGAGAGGACCCTGCTTGCCCCTAAACCCTTTTGCTGGCTCCTCGCTCTGCCATAGAGACCAATGTTAAGTCCAAGTGAGAACTGGCCAAAAGCTGAGGAAAATGGAATGGATGTACAGGATGCAGAGCAATATCTCAACTGTTGAGACTTCCCCTGGGTCTGCTGCCTGCCTCCTCTGCTGGAAGAGTTCGCCTCATAATGTGGAAACTGCCCCAGGCCTTAGAATCTGAGCTGAGCCAACCCCTGTGCCAGGAAAAGGGGGTATTTGTTTTTTCTTCAGAGTAGTCTAAGTCCTGCCTTCCAAATTCTCATTTCCTGACCTAAGACTGTTCTTCCAGGATGAGACACAGTGAACAAACCCACACTCTTTGTGAGAAACTCCACCCTTGTCCCAGTTCCAGATTGCGGCCTTGCCCTCTTAACCTGGTGACTTGGTCCCAAGCCTGACATCCGTATGTTTCTCAAAGTTAGAGTTTTATGTCACCGTGGTCGTCTTTTTACACATAGTATAAGTATAGTCTCACCATAGTAGTTCCCAAAGAGAATTCCATCTTAGTGGGCAATGGACTTTGAGTCTCCTCACTGAACTAACTTCCAATCCATTGAATGAATGTTGATAGAGCAGTTGCTATATATCGATTATTCCAAGTTTATTACGGCAGTGATAGATAATTCTTCAGAGAGAGAGGTAAGGAGGAACAGAAGGAAGGGAGAAAGGAAGCCAGGAGAGAAAGAAGGAAGGAGGAGAAGGAGGAAGAAAAGGAGAAGATAAGGAAAAAGGTAAATGAGTAATAAAGGTAATTTCCATTACTGGGGTTAGAAGGGTAAGACATGCCTGTAGTCAAGGCTCATTGGGAGGCTTTGATGTGGGAACTGGGTCTCTCTGTGGGAACCAGCAAGACAAAGAGTATACTTGAGAGGCTCCTAAAGACTGAGAACCGCTCCCACTGCCCCGAATTCAAGTGAAGATGCCCATTCCTGTTTCTGTCTAAGGCTACCTGATAGCACCAGCTATAGTCACTGCCCAGCTGCCTGCCCTAGGGGCTCTCCATCGTCCACCCATGCACAACATTAGGGAAGCTGAGGCCAAGCACCCACGATGACCCATTTCTCCATGTTTACTAAGGCCTGATTGCCTTAAGAAATAATGGGATAGATGTTAGCAAGCTGGGGAGAAAGGCAGAGCAAGGTTGTGACAGATCACATGGTCATCAAGATGGGAGGAAGCCATTCATTAAAAAGCATATTCTTCCAATGATGGATGGATACCTCTTCTTTGATGTTGAGGTGGCATGTTTTAAGATTGGTCTTTAGACAAACCTTTGCAAGGTAATCAGTTCCAATGATTGCTTATCATATATTTCTCTCCACGCAGTTGTGTCTCACATTTGTCTGTCTTTTCTGTTCTATTTTCAGACAAAGGGGACTTAAGCAAAAAAATAAAAAAACCTTCCAAATGTATTCATGAATATTTTACCATGTATTTTGTGTACACATTTAATATTCTCTCCAGGGCACACAGAGCAAGGAAGCGATAAGAGGAAGCTAGAACACTGTTCAGCGCTGGCTGCCCAGTGGCTGATGCTCTCAGGAGAAAGGGGCAGATTCCCTAAGCTGACATAGCCTGAAGAGCTTCTGCAGAGCCAGAAGAAGACATATAGTTTTCCCGGTAAGAGGCAGAGGGTGGTGGGGATGTGAGCGAATGAGGTCAGGAGAGAAAAGGAACAAGAGGACAACTACCGTGTTTCTACAGAGGTATAATGACTCTGCCTGAATTCATTCACTCACTCCAAATAAGTTGAACACTTGCTGTGATCCTGGATCTGTACTGCTTTTAGGATACAAAGTTGAGACATGGTCACTGCAACAAGGAGCTCATAATCAAGAGGGATGCTAGCACAGAAATCAGGAGCCATGACACAGTGTCGTGGATGCTGTGAAAGAAGCGTCAAGGGGTAAAGAGAAGCCACAGGAGTGGGAAGTGGTATTCAGGAAAGACTTCCTGAGGGAGGCCATACTTGAGCTAAGCTCTGGAGGATGCGTTGCCTTTAGACAGAGGACCTCTATCCAGGAAGCCACATGCGTGAAGGTCCTGATGCATGAGAGGCTGAGGCTAAGCCCATGACCAGAGTGGCCCTGTGTGGCTGGAGTGAGAGAAGGGGAAGGCACAAGAAAGAAGGCTGGAGGGGTAGAGCTCTGTTGCAGAATGGCTGGTGTGCAGTGCTAAGGAATGTGAACTTTACTGACAGACATCAGATTTAGAGTCATTTAAGGATTTAGAACCTGCTCAGCTTTGCATTTTGGAAAGGTCACCCTGATAAAGGTTTTGAGGATCCATGAGAAGGGAAAGGTAAGATTATTGTAATGATGCAGGAGAGAGATGCTGAGGGCCTGGATGGAAGCAGTAGGGGGGAAGACGGCAAGGGGATGAAGAGGAAGGATGGGATGCAGACACATTAGAAGTCAAAGGGACAGATCACCGATGGGATGTGGTGCACATGGGAGCCTAATCCTTCCTCCCACAAGTACCTGTGGGTGAGGCAGTACAACAGTGGTTAAGAGCTAGGTGACTTGGGTTCAGAGGTCACCCAGTTGCTGCCATTTACCAACTCAGTGATTTTGGGCATCTGCTTCTGCTCCCATAAAAGAGAAAGGGATAATGAAAAATTAGCTTAGGCAGGCACCTGTAGTTCCAGCTACTTGGGAGGCTGAGGCAGGAGAATCACTTGAATCCGGGAGGCAGAGGTTGCAGTGAGCCAAGACTGTGCCACTGCACTCCAGCCTGGGTGATAGAGCAAGACTCCATCTCAAAAAATAAATAAATAAATAAAAATGAAAATAAATTAGCTCAATACTGATAAAAATCAACTCTCATAAAAACCAGAACAGTATCTGGCATAAAATAAGTACTCTATGCATGTGCTCAATAAAATAAAATCTAACCCTTGAGCTGGGGGAGAGAGGCCAGAGGGAATGGGTTGGGATGGGGTAAGGCTGGTTTCCTAGTCAGGGTGAAGGGTGGTCTAGACCACAGTGCAACTCAGAGTGTGGCGCTAGAACCATTGTTGCTCCTAGAACCCTTTGTTACAGGTTTGTGACAAGTTAAGGCACAAATCGAGAGTAGACATTTATCAGCCATTATACCAATTTGACATTGCTGCTATAGCCAAGGAATGTGGTTCTTTTAAATTTTACAACCAGATGGATTGTAAATTAACAAGCAGAATGGTCATGCACCGGAGATGGTTTGAGAAGCCTTGGTGGAGAGCAATGGTTCTCAAAATCTGTTTCCTGTTAAAACCACTTGGGGAGCTTTTAGAAGATTTGACACCCAGGCTGACCTTATTACAATTACATGATGATCTCTGGGAGAGGAACTTCAAACTCCAGTACTTTTTTAAAGTTCTCTAAATGATTCTCATGAGCAGACACATTTGAGAACTGTGGTCTAGACAAGGGTTGAATTTTTATGTGCAAATAAATCATCTAGGAACTTGTTAAAGTGCAGATTCTGATTCATTAGGTCTGAGTGGAGCTCAAAAGTCTGTATTCTTCACAAGCTTCCAGGTAAGGCTCATGTTGTTGGTCCATGGACCACACTTTGAGTAAGATCTATGGGAAAAAGTTGTGCCTATCTAGCCAACTGTGGTCATTCATATAACAGTGTTGAATTTGACCAGCAAAAGAAACCGGAAGGTAGACAGTGCAGAAGAGAAAACTAAAGCTCAGAGACATTACAAACCAGTTAGTAGTAAGATAAGGACCTCAACCTAGGCCTCCCATACTCAAAATCGTCATTTCCTTACTCATCATGTCTTTGTCAGGACTACTATTTCTGGCTTTGGCTTTATGCTTCCATCTGCAACATTTCCTCTCTCACCCACCACTCCCACCCTAGTCACTGCTTTTCTGTTATAGTAAAGTAACTTTTAGAAAATCATACAATTTTCTTGGCTGAATTAAAGAGAATAGGAAATTTGCCCATATGTAGGCCTAACTCTAAGCAAACCTTTATTCACACCTCTATCTTCCAATAAGATTTCATCAGAGTCCTTCTAGGAGTAAAGAACAACCAAAGAGAAACAAAAGAGGAAGAGTAGAATAAACTGATCCAAAAGGACAGCATCTTGTGGAGTGAATGTGCTTCCTTTTCAGGGAGTATTTGCTTCCTAAATGATGACAATTCAAAGAAAATTGTCAAATGCTGACCTCAGGTATAGGCCACAGCACAGAGGGACAGCTTCTGTAAGCCCTTTTTTTTTTGACACCACTAATCATTCAACTCTATGTGTTTGCAAAGGCCGAGACTTGTACCTGAAGCAAAGAAGAAGGCTGGGTGTGACCATCATAGACCCTTGGCTCAAACTGTTGCTTCAGAATCCTTTGCTTCTTCTTATTTTCATCACATCACTCCTGTCTGGCAGAGTAGTCCATGCTTGGTCTCTGGTTCCAAGACTTTTTGTACATTCTCCTATGTGGCATTCAAGTCAGGGGAATGTGTGGGACTTCTCGCCAGACCCTAAGTCCTTTCAGCTCTAAGAGCCACATCTACATCCTATGCAGCCTTGAATTCTTAGTTGCTGGACACACAGCACATGGCCAGTTACATTTTGTTGAGTGCTTGAACAAACAAACTCCTGTTTTACATGCAACATGACTTAAAATGTGGATGATCAAATAAACTGGAGAATACAGTGTGATATGCAAGTTAGGTGTCACATGACAGCTTCCAAAGGGACAGCAGGCTGTGGTCACAGAAAGGATGAAAACTGGAGAGTGGGGGCTTGCAATGAACTTTGAGGAAGATAAATATGCAAGCAAGGAAAGATGGTGAGACTCTGAAGTCCACTGGGTTCTGGAGTGGTCCTGCAGACTTCAGAGGTTGCTTAGCATGGAGTTGTGGAGTCCCAGTGACTCCCAAATGAGTCCCAAAAGATAAATGAATGGAGAGGGTGAAGTAGTGTCCTCAGCTTCTATCCAAAAGCGTCTGCCAGAAACTGGTGGGGAAGTTTCAGAGGCAATAGGCTTGCAATAGGAAAGACCTCCTGTGACTCTAACCGCCATGAGCAAGTTGAAGGACATACCTGTGTCTGGGAATTTGGCTGCATGGGGTTGGGGAATTGCCAGCTTCCCAATTTAGCTTCTGTCTTAATGGTGTTATATAGTGTTTTATGTTAATTAAATGTCTACTGTAGGCATGTGCCAAGAGGCCTCACAAAATCCGGTACATGGGGAAAAAGAGGACAGGCGTGCTGACCGCAGCAGCCATTCCCAGGTGTCTGTAGACCAAAGCGAGAGAGGCATTAAAAACCTTCACTGGGCCCTTGATTGAGATAATTGGAAGAAAAAAAAAATCCTGTACAATGCAAACAATTGCTGCAGAAGAGTTAAGTAACATACCTGGGCCTCCTGCTAAAAAGAGGTAAAAATGGGACGAGCCTTCTACCTCTTCATTCCCCTTTCTCACCACCTCACCGCCTTGCTATCAGTAGAAATCTAAACTGTTGGTAAATTAAAATAAGAGCACATGGTGGGAAGAGAAAACATTGCTGTCACACAAGAGTAAAAACGTTAGAGGTTTTGACAATGAAGCCATGGTTTGGATTTACTTCCTTTTTTGACTTCTGCTACATGAGTCAGGAGCATTTACTGTGGGCCTGGCCCTATGATGAGTATTTTACATACATTGTCCCTACAAAGCCACACTTGGAGTTAGATTCAACTATTAAGAGGAAACAGAAATGAAAAGATGTTGGGTGACCTTCAGAGGTGCCCGTAGAGAGCAGCAGAATTGGAATTTGAGGGAGCTGTGCGTGTGGACAGCACGTGTGCTTAACCACTACCTAGATGGCCTCCTGGCCCAGGGGTTGGTCTCAATTCCAAGCACCTCAGCATATGAGTGGAGGGTAAGAGAAAGGTCTTCCTTGAGAGACTGTGCTCTCACCTCTCCTCATTCTCCTGCTTCTCCTCCTCCTCCTCACCTCCTGCGCATCTTCGGGCTCAATGTCTGCTCATTGCAAAAGAGAGGGATGTCATGGCAGCTTCTTCAAGCATCTTTTTAGAGCTCTGCCTCAGCAGCCCAACATTGAGGCCTTGTCCAAACTGTCAGAACCGTCTGCCTGCAGTCCGTGCGGCAGAAAGACCATCTGTCAGCCTCTGACCCGTGCCTTCCTGTCTCACGGACCACTTGAGCTGGCTCTATGCTCCCTGAGAGCCTCTGAGGTCCCCGGCTCCACAGTCTGTCTCCCAAACCTGACTGACAACTCCAGGCAGTTAGAAGTCAGGGTGCAGAGGGTGAGCTAAGATGAGAAACAGGGCTCTCAATGGCAAAACACACACACACACACATACACACCCCAAACACTCTTTTCTCATTTGGATCGTCTTCTTGCAAGAAAATAGTTATTTTATGCAAGCTTTGATTGAATACAAATACCCATTAAATTCTGTAGGGAATACATACCAGGAATAGGTATGTTCTTAATACCTCTTCCTCAGGTTAAGCCACATCAAGAAAATAGTAGGTCAGCATTATGAGACTATCCAAAATTATTGTGAACAGTTTTCTACCTTTAACCATGTAGCCCAGTAACTGTCAATCCAAGCTACACAGTAGAATCACGTGGGGAACTTAAAAAAAAATCAATCCTTGGGGACTGTTCTGGAACA